CCTCGGCTGCTGCCCCAGGGCTGCATGTGTCTCATGTCCAGGGCTCCAAGGAGGACTTGTGCCATGCTCCCTACCTGTTCTCTCTAACCCGTCCTTCACCTTGTCCAGTGAGCACAGCCTTGCCTCAGGCTGCTGGGCCAGCCCGCACCATCTGAATAGGGGCCAGGCTGGTCTCTTCCCTGCCCTAGGACCCCCACGCTGCCCACGGAAGCCTTGCATTGGTGGGGTCAGCTTTCCTCCAGGCAGGGACTGAGAATGGCGGCAGCACGTGGCACGGCCCAGAGCCCAGGCCACCTCCTCTGAGAGGCCCTCCTGGGTTCCCTGCAGAAGGAAGGACAACGAGCTCACGAGTGGCCCTGATCACAAAGCCTCGTGGCTGCCTTGCCCCTCTCTGGATCTGTCTGCTTCCGGGACCCTGAGCCCCTTGAGGGCTGGGACTGGGTCTCAGTTGTCTCTGGGTCTCCTAGTGCTTTGTATACAGTAGATACTCAGTAAATGTAGAGGACAGGCAAGCTGGCAGCAAGACAGGTAGGTGGACAGCCTTAGTGTGAATAAGAACACAATTACTTGTGTGATCTGTGTTAATTACAACGGTGTTACTACATTATCACTTCCTGTATTGGGAGCTGGCTTCACTGTATTGACAGTGTGCAATTTAAATACCACTTTCTCTGATCCGGCAGGAGGAGGAGGTCCTATTTTATATCAGCACCTATTCTGATTCTTTGGACATCTAGAGGTATATACATTTACTTTCTCCAGATTTCCTCTGGGCATCTTCTGCCTGGGAATAGATGACACGTCCTAAACCTGAAGTCAGGCTGCAGGCTTCTGGTCGATTCCCCCACTAGATTGCTGTGCAGCCCAAGGCTAGCTGGTTCCCCTCTCTGGGCCCTGGTGTCAAACAGAGGCAGGAATCCCCACCCCAGGGGCCTGTGCACTGTGCAGTGGAGAGCAGATGCTCCTGATCACAAAGCCTCGTGGCTGCCTTGCCCCTCTCTGGATCTGTCTGCTTCCGGGACCCTGAGCCCCTTGAGGGCTGGGACTGGGTCTCAGTTGTCTCTGGGTCTCCTAGTGCTTTGTATACAGTAGATACTCAGTAAATGTAGAGGACAGGCAAGCTGGCAGCAAGACAGGTAGGTGGACAGCCTTAGTGTGAATAAGAACACAATTACTTGTGTGATCTGTGTTAATTACAACGGTGTTACTACATTATCACTTCCTGTATTGGGAGCTGGCTTCACTGTATTGACAGTGTGCAATTTAAATACCACTTTCTCTGATCCGGCAGGAGGAGGAGGTCCTATTTTATATCAGCACCTATTCTGATTCTTTGGACATCTAGAGGTATATACATTTACTTTCTCCAGATTTCCTCTGGGCATCTTCTGCCTGGGAATAGATGACACGTCCTAAACCTGAAGTCAGGCTGCAGGCTTCTGGTCGATTCCCCCACTAGATTGCTGTGCAGCCCAAGGCTAGCTGGTTCCCCTCTCTGGGCCCTGGTGTCAAACAGAGGCAGGAATCCCCACCCCAGGGGCCTGTGCACTGTGCAGTGGAGAGCAGATGCTTCAGGGGTGTCTCTCCAAGGGAGGGAGGATCCAGGAGCTCTGGAGAGGATGCAGGGAGCTCAGGATGACCCAGGCTTTCTCACCTGCCTCCAAAGGTGGCAAGTGCCCCATCCAGGGGGCTGAGCAGGCTGGAGCAAGGCACGTGCCAGGACAGTCTCTCCAAGGGACCTTCAGCCCATGGCACAGGGTCCTGGCACAATGTTGCCATTCACCCAGCACTTTCCGCCTTCCCTGCCTGTGCTAAGCTTGTTTTGGTGGGGGGAGCTCAGACAGGCTCAGGCAGGCAGGGGTGGAGGGGTTTATCCGCAGCAACCCTGTGACCTCTGTTTTAGAGATGACGAACTTCAGATGGGGAGGCTCAGATGGGGTTGTCACCTGCTGGGACACTCAGGGTTAATGGAGCTCAGGGTTCGCAGTCCTGCTCTGCTGCCCTCTGGAGCGGTCCACTTGGCTGCAGCCTGTGGTGGTGGGCGGTGCATTCCCGCCCAGATCCTGGGCGGCGACAAGGGGCCGGCAGTGAGGCTGGGGGTGGGGCGGCCCGGGGTTCCGGCTCAGGAAGGAAGGAGGTGACAGCACCGCCACTGGGCCCAGCACTGGCAGATCACTTGGGGCCCAGGGGTGCTGCAGCAGCAGTTGTGGAGGTACACCCACCGGGAGGGGTAGGGCCTGGGGCCTCTCCTTGGTGGGCAGCACTGGGACTGGCTGGGAGCCGGCTGGAACCTACCTCTACCTCTGGCTGCAGGGACCACTGGACTGGGTGGGCAGCGGGGGGGGGGAGGTCTTCAGCACCCACCCTGCTTCTGTCCACCAGGCTATGCCAGGCTCTTTTGTCACTCGATCCCCTTCATCCTCCTGCAGCCGGTGAGGAGGACACCACTGTGCTCCCGGCTTTACAGCGAGGTTACACTGAAGCTCAAGGCCTGGATCCTGTACAAAGCTCCTCTCCCATCTGCCTGACCCCAAGCCCAGGGCTGTCCTGCGCCTGGGGAAGCTGACTCAGGGTGGGAGAGGGCTGGAGGGGGCAGGAGAGTAGGTTGACGTTGAAGCAGCTGCTTCGGTCTGGGGGGGTGGCAGGCAGGAGGGGTATCAGGGCTGTCCCCGCAGGGGCAGCTGCCAGCCCCCAGCCCCCAGCCCAGAGGTCGGGAGAGCCCAGACCGCACAGGCAGGCAGCGAAACGGCACGTGGCAGCTTCCCTGGCCAGCAGCATTTGTGTTGGGCACAGGCGGAGGGAGGAAGGAGGATCCTGTCCAGAAGCCGACCAGGCGTGTGGTGCCCCTGGGCAGCACACATGGTGGGGATAGGTGCTGGCCTTGGGCACCTTCCTTGGCTACTGCATCATGCCAACTTTCCCCTGGTAGGTCACCACTCTCAGGGGCTCCTGGAAGAGCAAGGACCTTCGAGGACCGAAGGTGTGTACAGACATGTGCCAGGGGGCGTGCCCCCCCGTCCCCAGGGCCACCCCCGCAGGCAGAAGGTGGGTGGGCTGTCACACCGTGGGGAGCAAAGAGGGGCTGAGAGGCCCGAGGTCAGCTCCTGCTGACTCCCAGATGCCTCTCGGACCACCAACTCCCCGCTCCTTCCTATGCCCCGTTCCTCCCCTCGCCAGGGGCACTGCGGCAGGTGTGGCAGCCCTGACCAGGCCGAGAGCTGGAGCCTCCACCAACATTCCCACTGTGCTTAAGACAGGGTCTGTGCCCAGCAAGGTGGGACAAGGTGTGGCAGTGGGTCCTGAGTCTCCCCCAACTTAGGCCCCACAGTGTCTGTGCACCAGGATGGTCAGCAGAAGGGCAGGAGAGCGTGCAGGCTTTGGGTCTAAGCCAGTCTGTCCTTGCACCCCAGCGCAGCCACACGGGCCCTGTGACCTTGGTCACCTGAGGGAGCATCGTCGTGCCTCTGTCTCCTCCCCTGTAAAATAGAGATGACAGTATATCTACATCAGAGCATTCCCCAGTGTTAATGAGAGTGGATGTAACATGCGTTGCACGTGCTCTGTGCCTGGCGGTGGAGGCCGACTTTCTTTATTAATTAATATTAATCAGTAATAGTAATGCAGGTGGCAAAGCCCACCTCAGCTGCAGGGATTGCGGCCACAACCCTTTTACTTTTCCTGAGGGTCTCAGAAAAGGCCCCAGAAGCCCCTTGAGGCTACTTTCCTCCCCATGTTGGGCAGGACGCACCCCCAGGGAGACACCCTGTGTTGCCTTCTCACCTTAGAAGGTGGGCCTGCTCCTCCTGCTCCTCCTGCTCCTCCTGCTCCTCCTGCTCCTCCTGCTCCTCCTGCTCCTCCTGCTCCTCCTGCTCCTCCTGCTCCTCCTGCTCCTCCTGCTCCTCCTCTTGATCCTGCTCCTCCTGCTCCTCATCCTCCTGCTCCTCCTGCTCCTCCTGCTCCTCATCCTCCTGCTCCTCCTGCTCCTGCTCCTCCTCTTGATCCTGCTCCTCCTGCTCCTGCTCCTCCTGCTCCTGCTCCTCCTCTTGATCCTGCTCCTCCTGCTCCTGCTTCTGCTGTTCTTCATCCTCCTGCTCCTGCTCCTGCTGTTCCTCCTGTTCCTGCTCCTCCTGCTCCTGCTCCTCATCCTCCTGCTCCTGCTCCTACTGTTCCTCCTGTTCCTGCTCCTCCTGCTCCTCCTCCACCTGCTCCTCATCCTCCTGCTCCTCCTCCTCCTGCTCCTCCTGTTCCTGCTCCTCCTGCTCCTGCTCCTCATCCTCCTGCTCCTGCTCCTACTGTTCCTCCTGTTCCTGCTCCTCCTGCTCCTCATCCTCCTGCTCCTCCTGCTCCTCATCCTCCTGCTCCTGCTCCTCCTCTTGATCCTGCTCCTCCTGCTCCTGCTCCTCATCCTCCTGCTCCTGCTCCTACTGTTCCTCCTGTTCCTGCTCCTCCTGCTCCTCCTGCTCCTCCTGCTCCTCATCCTCCTGCTCCTCCTGCTCCTCATCTTCCTGCTCCTCCTGCTCCTGCTCCTCCTCTTGATCCTGCTCCTCCTGCTCCTGCTCCTGCTGTTCTTCATCCTCCTGCTCCTGCTTCTGCTGTTCCTCCTGTTCCTGCTCCTCCTGCTCATCCTGCTCCTCCTGCTCCTCATCCTCCTGCTCTTCCTGCTCCTGCTCCTCCTCTTGCTCCTGCTCCTCCTGCTCCTGCTGTTCTTCATCCTCCTGCTCCTGCTCCTGCTGTTCCTCCTGTTCCTGCTCCTCCTGCTCCTCATCCTCCTGCTCCTGCTCCTACTGTTCCTCCTGTTCCTGCTCCTCCTGCTCCTCCTCCACCTGCTCCTCCTCCTGCTCCTGCTCCTCCTCTTGCTCCTCCTGCTCCTGCTGCTCCTCCTCCTCCTGCTCCTTCTGCTCCTCCTCCTTTGATCTTTCTGGCTGGAGGTCTGGAGGGCACTGCCTGAGCACAGAGCACAGCCCTCACTATGTCCCCTCTGCATCCCACCAGCCTCGGCGCTCTCCCCAGCTCCCTCTGGTGCCATAGCTTGGAGTCCCCATGGCCTCGCTGATCCGAGCCCTGCGTGTGGCCACCACATGCCCTCGTTCAAGCCCTGCCCAGGCCCCGGGGCCGCGATCCATGGCCTGCACAGTCGGCCCCACAACTGAGAAGAAAGTACCACATCAGCGGATCCTGAAGGAGACACAGGGCCCCTCTGTGGTGGCCCAAGGCCCAAGTCGGCCGCTGCCCAGCACAGCCAATGTGGTGGTCATTGGTGGGGGCAGCGTGGGCTGCCAGACCCTGTACCACCTGGCCAAGCTGGGTGTAGGCGGGGCGGTGCTGCTGGAGCGAGACCGGCTGACCTCGGGGACCACCTGGCACACGGCAGGTAGCGGAGGGGGGGCACTGGGAGGGACTGGGCAGTTCTGGGTTGGCAACCACAAGCCTGTTAGAAGTAAAGACCACTGAGAAAAGCTGTGTGGTCAATCTGAAAGTGGGCAGACTTGGGGTGCCATTGTCCCCAGGTCTCTGAAGAGCTGTGGTGGAGAGAGGGAGCAGAGGCCACTAGTGTGGCCCTGGAGGGTTCAGAGCAGGAAGCCCCAGGCAGCTGTCCAGAGAGCAGAAGCCCCTTTCTTGGGCAAGCCACCAGGGTTGAGGGGTGTCCATGGCAGGTGGAAAAGGATGGATGGGGGGCCACCAGGGGTGACTCAGAGCTGTGTCTTCCATGGACACCACATGCTTTACAGCCCTTATCCTCCTAACTAACCAGTGGGCATGTATTAAGCACCTACAGTGTGCAAGTTCCCAGGGCAGCCAACCTTCTGCCTTAACACATTTAACCAGTGGTATGCTGGTGAACCGGCTCTCCTGATCTGCAGCATTTGCCAGTTCCTGTGGTGTAAACACTCCCACCTTGGCCAGTGTCAAGCTACCAATGTGAGGTCACTGGCCGTGGAGTTGGGAAGTTTCACACCCTGGGCTCTTGAGGGTGGATGTGCCACTGCCACCCACTCTTGCTCTTTGGCTCCTGAGGTCCACCTTAGCTGGGCCCACACAGTCCACCACGCCCCCCAACATGGCACCAGTCATGTCCCTGGCCTCCCACTCTCCAGACTCTGCTGCTCAGGAGAGCGGCCTCTGTGGGTAAAAGGCATGGCTTTGGGCTTTGGCAGATCCCAGGTTGGTGTTCTGGCTTTGACATTCACCTGCACTGTGATCTTGGACACGGAACTGTTTGGTGCCGCCTTAAGTTCATGTATAAAATAACCAGCCCTCTGCATAGGTCTGCTCTGAGGGTTTGTGAGGTCACCGCCTGAAAAGCTTAGCAGTGGGCTTGGCACACAGCAGGTGCTCAGTAAATGCAAGCCTTTGATATTGTTGCTCTCTGAACTGACAAGGGTTGGGTCCCACCCTAACACTCTGCTTTGGCCAGTCATTTCTTGCCCAGCAGCCTCTCAGCACTCCCACGGCCTACAGAGAAAGACTCCGGGCCCTGCCTGACATTGGCTGGGACAAGGGCGCAGTGCCTCCTGGCTGGGACAGACGCTGTCGCTCCTCCCTGGCCAGGCCTGCTGTGGCAGCTGCGGCCCAGCGACGTGGAGGTGGAGCTGCTGGCCCACACGCGGCGCGTGGTGAGCCGTGACCTGGAGGAGGAGACTGGGCTGCACACGGGGTGGATCCAGAACGGTGGCCTCTTCATCGCATCCAACCGGCAGCGCCTGGATGAGTACAAGAGGCTCATGTCGGTGGGTGCACTTCCTGTGGGGATCAGGTCCAGGGGGGTGCCCTCTAGCAGGGGGGCTCATATTGGTGGGTGTGCTCCCTGCAGGGGGGTGGCAGGTGGGGTGGCCCCAGGTCCAGGGGTGTGCCTCCTGGCAGGGGTCTCATGTTGGTGGGTGTGCTCCCTATAGGGGGGTGGCAGGTGGGGCGGCCCCAGGTCGGTGGGTGCCCCCCCCTGCTGGTGAGGGGATGGTGCAGCATCGCGCAGGGAAGGAGCCGGATAGATGTGGGTTTGAATCCTGGTACTGCCCTTGTTGTCTGGCGGTGACTTGCCACTCTTCGTTCAGAATGCCCAGACAGAGAATCTGATTGGCTCAGCTCGTCCCTGGCTAGGCAGAGCCTGTCCTCATGCACACCTGAGGATACTTGATTGGCTGCCCTTGGGCCAATCAAATGTGGTGGGGGCGTGGCCTATCTGACAGTCTTTAGTCTGGAACCGAGGACCATGTTGGTCTCTCTTGGGCGAGCTGGTCTGACTGAGGAAATATTAGACCTGTGCGGGGTGGTTATCTTATTTATTTTATAGAAGCCCTTTGTTCCAGATATTGGTCTAAGTTCTTTCTCACCCACATAGACTTGGGGGGTGGGTGTTAAGGACCTGCCCCGGGTCCCACAGCTGGCGAGCGTCAGAGCTGGATCAGAACCGGTGGTCTGGCCCAGAGCCTGCTTCTCTGCACTGCCCCGCTCCTTAAACCTCATGCTGGAGTGCATTCGAGGGACGGGGCCCACTGGGGCATGGTGCCCGGCTAAGGCCTCCGGGAGCAAACAGGGCTGGAGCAGAGCCTTGGGGGCCCAGCTGGGGAGGAGGGTGATCGGCGGTCTGCTCCCCGGGGCTCAGTTAATCTCCTCTGGGTCCCCTAGTTGGGCAAGGCCTATGGCGTGGAATCCCATGTGCTGAGCCCGGCAGAGACCAAGGTTCTGTACCCGCTGATGAATGTGGATGATCTCTATGGAACCCTGTACGTGCCACATGACGGCACCATGGACCCGGCTGGCACCTGCACCACGCTCACCAGGGCGGCTGCTGCCCGAGGAGCACAGGTACCCATGCCCACTCCCAGCCCACCCCGCCTGCCTCAGAACCTGAGAGCAGAAGGCAAGAGACCAGGCGCTATTTTCTGCCTGCTGTGTGACCATGGCCAGTTAGGTTATCTCTGAGCCTTCTGCTCCACTCCTGCCAAGCAGAGCCTGTGCCCCGGGCCTGCTCACGGACTCAGCCTTCCCACCCTCCTCCCCACAGGTCCGGCTTTACCTTCATTTGTCTCGATCACACACATAATTGTAGAAAAAAATTAAAAAGGCAAATAAGCAAGAGAGGAGAATGAACATGACCAGCAGTGACCAGTGCTGACATTTTTGTGTGCGCCACTTCAGATTTTTTCCTATGAAGATGCGTATGTACACAAAATAGAACCAAGCTGCACATTGTCTTATGACTTGTTTTTTTAACCAAGCAGTAGACTGCAAACATCATGTCATGAAAAAGAGCCCCCATCCCCCATTACTGGCAAGTTCCCCAAGTCAAGGAAAGTGGATGTAGTTTCTGGTGCTGTGGTCACCCCATTTCCCTGGCAGTGTTACGAGGTCTGCTGCCCGCAGAAACTGTGTCCCCAGGTCCCATCTGGGAGGGGTGTTGGTCAGGGGTGGGTGGGCAGTGCCCTCAGGGAGCCCCACAGGTTTTAGAGGTAGTTCCTCTCCATCCCAGGTCATCGAGAACTGCCCAGTGACTGGCATCCGTGTGCGGACAGATGACTTTGGGGTGCGGCGGGTCGCGGCTGTGGAGACAGAGCACGGCTCCATCCAGACACCCTGTGTGGTCAACTGTGCAGGTGGGAATGTATTCTCCTGACTCTTGAGTGGCTGTGCTGGCTGCCCCCTAACCTGGTCCCACCTCTGCAGGGCCTCTCGCTGGGGTGGGTAGTCCCTGCCAGGGCAGGCAGGTGTGCAGAGGTGCCCTATGCCCACCCAGGTGGCAGTCCCCACCAGATGCCAGCAAAGCTAAGCTGTCATGCTCCTCCTGCAGGAGTGTGGGCAAGCGCAGTGGGTCGGATGGCTGGAGTCAAGGTCCCACTGGTGGCCATGCACCATGCCTACGTCGTCACTGAGCGCATCGAGGGGATCCAGGTAGGTGGACAGCCCCAGGTTCTATGAGAGGCTGTGGGGCACAGGGACCTGGCTCTGAGGCACAGGGACCTGGCTCTGAACCCCAGCTTGGCCACACGTAGGTGACATGCCCTTCCTGGGTTCCCTCACTGCCCTGGGCCTCAGCAACCTCACTTGTGAAACACCGATCATAACACTGGGCATTTCCAGGTGGCATGAGAATGAAATGAGGTAGCACAGGTGTAACCTGATGGTGCTGAACCCCTTGGCCTCCAGGGCATGGCTTCTCACCCATGCCCAAAGCACAGACCATGCCTGTCCCACGTGGTGCAGCCAGTTCTGCTTTCACCATGTTCTGTGCCTGGACTTTCAGGGAAGCCCTGGATGTTGGCATGCTCCCAGGTACGCCCTGGGTGCCTGTCTTAGAGGGTGCTGATTCCGGGCACTCAGGCCTCTCTGAGAGCCCTTTGCCAAGGGAGGCCGGGGGCACCTGGTGCACCTGCTGGCACCTGGGGCTGTGCCCCTGCCCTCTCTCCTCTCCTGTCCTTCTCAGCTCCTCTCTCCGGTGGTGGTGGCTGGTAGCTTCCTGCCCCCTTGTTGCCCTCCCCTCTTTCCCTCCACCCACCCGTCATCCAGCCGTCCCTTACGCGTCCGTCTCTCCGTCCGTCCATTTCCCTGCCCTCCGTCCTTCGCCCCTCCGTCTGGTCGTCCCCATTCGCTTCCCTCCCTGCACCCGTCTTGGCATCTGCCATCGTTCGCTCTTGCCTCGGTCCTTCCCTTCATTTCTCCGTCCATTTATGCACCTGCCTGTCCGTCCGCTCACTGCCCAGCCCTTCTTCCACGTATCCTTCCATCCGCCCATCCTCCCTTCACCCACTCCTCCATCGCCCACCCATTTATTAATCCATCCACCCACCATTCCATCCAAGCCTCCTTCCCCCCCCTTCCTCCATCGAACATTGACTGGGTGAGCTGTGCGTTCCAGGCCCTGTTCTAGAAACTGTGCTTAGAGCAGAGAAAGAGACCTGGTTCTTACCCGCGTGGAGCTCGGGGGAGGCTACAGACAGGCAAACAAGCAGCTGCAAAACAGGCTCATGGGCTCTGATGGGCTAAACGCAGGTGCTCGGGACTCCCAGCCCTAGCGGACCAGGGGAGGCTCCCTGGAGGAGGAGGCCCTGTCTAGGGAGGATCTGAAGCGCAGCAGAGAAGGGGCACACATGGAGCGTGGCACCCGGGGACCTGCAGACAGTTCAGAGAGCCAGCGCCGGAGGCTGTGGGGAGGGGAGAGTATGAGAGACAAGACTGCCCTTGTTTAGCCTCCCTGGCAAAGAGGGGCCGAGATGCCTGGACCTGCCATGCTGGGAGCTGTGTCCTGGCAGCTGCCTGTCCCCACCCCGCACAAACCTGGCTGTTTTCCAGTCACCGGGGAGACCATAGTGGTGGAGAGGGTGGGGAAGGGACACAGGACCTGGGTCTCCATGGACTCCTGCCCCTGTCTCCTGTGCACGGGGCAAGCCCCTCCCCCTGCACGCATGGTCCCCTGTTCGTAGAATGAGTCTGATGTCAGTGAACGCTCGCCGGAGGCTGCTAGGGGCTGTGCGCTGGGTCAGTTGTGCAGACAAGAGCAACCACGCCGGGGACAGTTCCACAGCCCGGGTCTGTGGGGAGAGCGCGCTCCCCAGGTGGCTGTCAGGGGTCGCCCTCAAGCCATGGTGGGCTCTGGGAGGGCCTGGCTGGGCTGGGGGGTGGGGCAGAGGCTGTGTTTTGGGGTCTGGGCTGCCTGAGGGTGGCCACGGCCTGTCCATCCCCAGTTCTCATATCTGACTTTGAGGCCCCTGTCAGGGAAGAAGTGGGCAGAGCTGGCCTGGACCTTGGCAGCTGCCCCCTTCCCATGAATTTAAAGGTCAGAGCCAAGCTGGGGGGCAGGTGTTGTTTACAAAGCCAGCCAGGGTCCCTGTGGGCCTCTGGGTACCGAGCACAAGGAGAGGGCCACCAGCCCAGACGCTCTGAGGCTCTGTAGGAGAAAAGCAGAGACTTGGGGCTGTGGCAAAGCCCCGGGTGCTCCTCCCCGTCCCGCTGGCCATGTGGAGGTGTCAGGAAGTCTGCCTTCTGGAGGCTGCAGCTGGGCAGATGGTTTGGATCTGGTCTCTGACCCTGACCTCATGCCAGGGCAAGTCCTAGGCCAGGGGCCTGTCCTGGGGGTGTGTCCACCTGCCTGGCCCACATTTGGGGTCAGGAAGCTCCCTGAGCTTGGCAGCCTTGTGCTGCAGGACACTGTCTGCCCAGATCAGACACTGCCTCACAGCGCCAGGACCCTGGGAGCTCCAGGCTGGCAGGTGAGGGCTTGGTGTCCACCTGCTCTTCATCTTTCTTATTTGGTGGCTAGAGGGCTGTGTCACCACAGGGACCTCCCTGTTCTGAGGGTCTCCCTGGGTCCTAGGGAACTCTAACCCCAGTCCCTTCCCCCTCCGGGCCTGGTCTCTGCATTGCTAAAGCACAAAGGCTCAGGCACTCTCCCATGGTCTCGTTCCTGATTGTCCTGTCGCCTGCTTTTGCCAGGCTCTGTCCAGGTGCAGAGCGGTGGGTAAGAGCCCAGGCTCTAGGCTTGAATACCGACTGCTCCACTACCCAGACCAGGCAAGTCCAGCCACTGCTGTCAGCCTCAGTTTCCTTCTCTGAAGGCTCTGTCCAGGTGCAGAGCGGTGGGTAAGAGCCCAGGCTCTAGGCTTGAATACCGACTGTTCCACTACCCAGACCAGGCAAGTCCAGCCACTGCTGTCAGCCTCAGTTTCCTTCTCTGAAGAATGGGTGAGAATGGTCCATACTGCATAGGGCTGTGCTGAACAAAGAGCACAGAGAACAAAGTGGGGGGGCCGCAGCTGAGGGTGGCACACAGCAGGTGCTTGTGAGGCGGGAGCTGTGGCACTGATGATGGCGGTGGCCGAGGGCATCGAGTGGTCCAGCAGCTGGTGCTTCCGAGGAGGAGACCAGGGAAGGCTGGAGCAGGCAGGCAGGCTTCCCAGAGGATTTGGGTGGGGGAAAGAAGCAGCAGGTGGAGGGGAATGGGGTGAGATTTGGAGGCAGGGATGTCAGTGGGACCAGGGCTGTGCTGGGGACAGTGGAGGAGGGAGGGCTCCTGAGTGGAGGGCAGCGGAGGTGCCAGGTGGACACGCTGGTTCTGAGCTGAGCACTCGCTGGGCACTAGAGGCAGGAAAGTTGGGACACAGATCCTGCTGGAACAAAAGTCAGAGGCTTTCCTGGCCACCAGGTGTCCCCATTGTCCTGCTCTGTGGAGCTCTGAGGTTTTCTTTGTTTTGTTTTTGGAGTAGGTAATGATGTAATTCTTATTTAAAACACTGCTCCGGGACTGAGAACTTCCGTGCACCTCCTGACAACAGCCCAGGGTGGGTCTCATTCCTCTTCTACAGGTGGCAGGGCATCGGGGCCTGGAGGACGTGGCAGGGCATCTGCCAGATTCTCCAGCATGGGCTGGGGGTCCCATCCCTGTGCCCATTGGCAGTGCAGGAGTAGGTGAGAGAGGGATGGAGAGAGGCAGTTCCTCGGGTGCAGAGGAGCACAGGAGAGCCGGGCCTGCTTGCTCTCTAAATAGATTTGCTTTGTGTGGTTTTTGGTTAAATTGGTAGTCGGTATTTGCAATCTTATGGCTGTGTAAATATCGTTAACTCAGCCTCATTGTCCCCTGAGTCAAGCCATAGAAACTAGAGTCCCTCTTCCCCAAGGCTAGTCATGGAAACACACTTCTCCCCTGCCTCTCTGTCTTGGAGCTGGCTATAAAGAAACTCTGACCTACCTTGTTGGATTGTAGGTCATAAGACCCCCATTCCAGAAAGGGTCCTGCCCCCCACCCTGGAGGATGAATGCTCCGCAGACAGGCCGAGAAGGATCTGGACAGACAGGCCCTGCGGGGTTTCCCCACTCAGTCTCTTATCATTAGAGAATAGTTTCTTGTCCAATCACATTTCTACACGGTGCGCCTGCTTCATAGAACCTAGGCATAGATGTGCACAGTCTCCCCTCTGTCGTTGGGTCCTCATTCTGAAGGCTCCCGTGTCACACAAAACTATGATATAATAAGATTTATTATGCCTTTTCTTCATGCTAATCTGTGTTTATGAGGCGATTTTTCAGAGAACCCTCAGGAGGTTGAAGCGGGTGTCTTCTCTTGGCTCCCGTAGTACTTGGGAGTGGAACTGCTGGGTCATGTGGCGACTCTGTGTTTAACGTTTTGAGGAGCTGTCAGACTGTCTTCCAAAGAAGCTGCACCGTTTCACGCTCCCACCAGCGACACAGGAGTGCAATTGTCTTGGCACCTTATTGAAAAGCAATTGACCATAAATACGAAGGTTTATTTCTGGGCTCTCGGTTCTAGTCCATTGATATTTATGCCCATCCTTATATCAGTCCACACGATCGTGTCTCCTGTAGCTTTGTAGTAAGTTTTGAAACTGGGAAGTGTGAGCCTTCCATTGTGTTCTTCCTTTTCAAGACGGTTTGAATATTCTGGGTCCCTTGCATCTGGATGTGTTGTCACCTTAACAATAGTAAACCTTCTGTTTCATAAACATGGGATGTCTTTCCATTTACTTAGATCTTTAATTTCTTTCGAAAACACTCTAGTTTTTAGAGCACAAGTTTTGCACTGCTTTTGTTAAATTTGTCCCTAAACATTTTATCATTTTTGTTGATATTGAGAATAGAATTATTTTCTTAATTTCCTTTTCAGATTGTCCAATGCTAGTGTATAGAAATACAATAGGTTTTTTTTTTGTTTTTTTTCTTGTACATTGAGCTTGTATCCTGCAACCTTGTTAAACTATTTTATTAATTATTGTGGGTCCCTTAGGATTTTCTATATATGAGATTCTGTCACCCTCCAGTAGGGATAGTCTTGCTTATTTCCCAGTCTGGATGCCTTTCGTTACTTCTCTTGCCTAATTGAGGCCCCGGCTAGACCAGCCGGCGTGAGGTTGGATACACGTGGTGAGAATGGACACTTTCTCTTCTTCCCGATCTCGGGAGAAATCAGCCAGTTTTCTTCCATTAAGTATGACGTTAGCGGTGAGTTTTTTGTAGATACCCTTTATCAAGTTGAGGAAGTTCCCTTCCACTCCAAGTTTGTTGAATGCTTTTATCATGAAAGATGTTGGATTCTGTCAAATGCTTTTTATGCACTTACCGAAACGGTTATGTGGTTTTGTCCCTCGCTCGATGGATATGAAGTATTCTGCTGATTGATTTTCATATGTTAAACCAACCTGCGTTTCTAGGTCCCGCTTGGCCATGGTGTTCTATCCTTTCTGCATGTGGCTGGATTCAGTTTGCTAGTACTTTGTTGAGGATATTTGTATTTATATTCATTATTGTCACTATGTTCCACCCAGATGTTTGAACAGATCTGTCAAACCCCTATGGATACTATTTTGTGACTGCGCACGCACGTCACATTCATCACGTGACGTCTCTGGGTCCCATGCTCCCTTACCCGGAGGCCTCCTTCCTACTGCCTGGGGCCTTCTGCTCCGTGCCAGACGGTGGCACCGGGACCTGTTGATCAGCTCTCGGACTGGGACCCTCCTTACCCTCCTCCGTGTGGATCTGATGTTTGCTGGGTCCACGCCTTTCTCTTTCTTGGTGTATTTTCCTCGTTTTGTCAAAGCGTGTTCTCTGGCAGGTTACTGAGAAGAGGTACATGGGAAGTAAATGTTTTTGTGTCCACGAGCGTCTGTAAAAGTCTTTATTCTTTTCTTACACTTGATGGATGGCTTGTCTGGATCTAGAATCCTACGTTTAAAAACTCACTGTCCGGGCTGGCCCGGTGGCACACTCGGTAGAGTGGCGGCGCTCCCGCCGAGGGTTCGGATCCCATATAGAGACTGGTCCGCTCACTGGTTGAGCGCGGTGTGGGCGCAACACCGAGGGTTGCGATCCCGTTGCTGGTCACAAAAAAAAAGACAAAAAGGAAAAAAAAAAAAGTCACTGTCCATCAGAATCCTGAAGACTTCACTCCATGTCTTCAGCCTCTTGTGATGCGGTCCCTTTATTTGTGACCGTCCTGTCCACCTGTGTGCTGCCCTCTCTCCGTCCCCACGGCTTGGTGGGCACTCGTGGGCCCTTGAATGCGTTTCTCTCTGCTCCAGTTTTCTGTTTCCTGGTGGATGTTGGACCTTCAGTCCTGACCTCATTTTCTCATTTTGTTTCCTCTCCTGATTTCCATTTCTCCATCTTTTTTAGCCTAATATGTGCAGGGTGATCTCAGCCCTGTCTGACCCTTTTCCTGAATTTTAAATTTTGATTATTATATCTAATTTAAAGACCTCTTTCTTGATCTTGGACTCCTTTCACATAGCACCTTTTTTTATGGGCCCACTCTTCTCACCTCACTGAAGTTCTGACTGTGGTTTCATTTTTAAGAGTGAATTTCCAGCAGGTTGGATGCTCGGAGAGCCAAGGCCTGGAGAGCCTCTTGCATGGAGGTTAAGCCTCCAGCCTCATCATGGGTGAGGGATCCGGGTGTCACGTCTCAAGCCTTCCCTGGGCCACTCCTGTCTCCTGTCTGCTGTCATGGGGGATGTCAGCCCACTCCCCACTCTGCTCCCCAAGTCTGGGGCCTCTCAGGACCCACCTGTGCAGAGGCGGACATCAGAGCTCCTGCAGGGTGGGGCCGGGCCCTGGGCGGCATGGGGTGAGGGGCGGAGGGGTCTGGATCCAGCTGCCTTGAAGAGTCTTAGCTGATTCTCCTGTACGTGAGTACAGCCGTGTAACACGCACACACACACACGCACGCACATGCCTGCAGAGGGACCTGGGGTGGCCGCAAGCTCAGCCTCTGCAGATTTGAGGGGAGGAGGGAGGGGGGAAACTGTCTCGAATTGTTCAGTCTCCCTCCCCCCAAGCTGAGCTGGAGCCTCGCCCCTCCCCACCCAGGCCTTACCCTCCAGGGGCTGGAAACCTCCCCTCCTCTGCTCTTGCCTTGTCCCCTGTTCTGCTGTCCCCGTGGGTTATACCAGTCTCTTCCCTCCCTCCTCTCTCTTGCTCTTCATCCAGCCTTCCTCCTTCTGACTCCTTTGCTGTTATTTTACAGGATTTGAGGAAGGAGAGATTTGAATGGGAGTGGTCTGTCTACTGTGTGTCACCTGAGGCCCCTCATCCACTCTGTCCATGGGTCCTCTCTGGGCCTTTGACTCCTAAGGGAGGTGCTAGGCCCACTGCAGGGCAGGGGGCACCAGGCCCCCACCCAGCCCTGGCTGACGCGGAGGCCTCTCTGCTCTGCCTTCCAGAACATGCCCAACGTCCGTGACCATGATGCCTCTGTCTACCTCCGCCTTCAAGGGGACGCCTTGTCTGTAGGCGGCTACGAGGCCAACCCCATCTTTTGGGAGGACGTAAGACGCCAAGGGCCCTGGGATGCTGGGAGGGGGTGTGGGGATGCGTCTCTTTTCGAGAGCCCACCCTCCTGAAGCTCCTCAGAGGCACACCGAGAAGTGTCAGGTCCCCTGGCCCCACCAGGCTCGCACACATCTGTCTCCCACCCTGAAGAAGGTGACACACAGGCACATCCAGAACCGGGGCGTGGGGGGAGGGCTTTGCCTTGGAACGTTGGCAGGTGGAGCTGCACGAGTGTGACGCAATGCCTCTAGATCACGAGGACATCGAAGTCCTTTGTCCATCAGCAAACAACACTGTGCCCCCCCACCACACCGCAGGTGTCCCCCCCAGCCTGGGCAGCCCCACGACCCTCACGGCCTCCTCCTATATTCATGCAATTAGTCCACAAATCGAATGACTAAATGGCTGCTTTGGGCCAAATACTGCTTTAGTTTTTGGAGGAGGGACACTAAGATAAAAGTCCCTGCCCCAGGATGCCTATATTCTGCTGGGGAGACCTACAAGAGATAAACAAGTAGTGCAATTCTGGATGGTGACCATGCGCTGAACACGGGCAGCAGGTACGGACCAGCCTCGAGAGACTGCGGTGGAAGGATGTCCTTTAGACTAATGGTCGGGACAGGGTCTCCTACGCAGGGATGTCCAAGCAGAGCCCTGCACAGAGAACAAGCCAGCACTGGCAGGTCTGGGCCAGGAGCTGCTCCAGTTAGAGGTGAGGCCTGAGGTCAGCTCAAGCCCGCCCTCTCGGAGAGCTGAAGGGAGGCCAGGGTGGCCGTGGCCAGCGGTAGAGGTCGGCAGGCCAGCTCACGTAGGCTTCATGGGTCACGGCGGGGCAGGGGGAGCCACGCCACGGAGGCTTGAGAGCAGAGTGGGCATGGTGTGAACAGGAGAAGGGTCTGGAGGAGGGCAGGAAGCAGGAGACCAGTGGGAGGACGTTGCTTCTAACGATTTAAGCGGGGGGTGGCGGCGGGCAGGGAGAGGACAGCCCCACTGGCAGGTTGGGAGGGCAGGAAGCAGGAGACCAGTGGGAGGACGTTGCTTCTAACGATTTAAGCGGGGGGTGGTGGCGGGCAGGGAGAGGACAGCCCCACTGGCAGGTTGGTGAAGGAGACAAACCCAGGGGACCTGAGCATGCCCACCCCAGCCCTCTCACTCATCTGACCTGGTGGAGGCTGGTCTGGCCCGCTGTCACAAGGCCAGGTCTGGCATGGGGACATATGCTTTTCTCCGGACCAAAGTAGATGTCCCCTGCCCTACCTCTGAAGGTGTCGGACAAGTTTGCCTTCGGCCTCTTCGACCTGGATTGGGACGTGTTCACCCAACACATCGAAGGCGCCATTAACCGGGTCCCTGTGCTGGAGAAGACGGGGATCAAGTCCACGGTCTGTGGCCCGGGTGAGTGGGGAGGCCTTTGGGCTGGTGATGGTGGGTAGCAATGGCCCTGGCTGAGGCTGCCTGTGCTGGGCACGGGCCGGGCTGTCCCCTGCTCTCTGCTGGCTTGGCTTCAGCTGCCCTGCATCCAGCCTTACTTCTAGGCCTCCTTGCAGGAGAAGGACCTGAGCTTAGTGAGGCAGGAATCTGCCCCCTGGCACAGGCCCAGGGCTTCCTCCTGCCCCGGTGTGAATGCCTCCTGGCTCCCAGCCTGGGCTCTTTGTCCCTAGAGTCAGCACGTGCCTGGAATTTGGTGTTTTCATCTGTGAAATGGGAATGGTCTCAGCACCCTGTGAGGCTGAGCAAGGAATGGAGGGCCAAGACCCTTCCTGATGCTCACACGGGGGTGACCCCCAGTTCTGTGTCCAGCCTCAGCCCCACCCCCCGAGAGCCCCGTGTGGGCCAGGACCCTGGGCTGCTGGCGCCTTCCCATTCTCTGGCCTCAGCAGCCAGGTGCCGGCAGGTCCAGAGACTGGCTCAGCATGGAAAGGCTCCTGTGCCAAGAGTGCCTTAGCCCCAGCCTTGTCACTGGCCTCCGGGCGAGCTGAGCTGAGGTTGGCTGGAGCAGAAAGGCGGCCTCTGCTCTGAACATCCCCGTGGATTACTCGTGGCACAGCTCCGCCCCCACCACAGGGGCCAGGGCTTGCAGGGCATGGGCACTCTGTCCCAGGGTGAGGTGCAGGGGTCACACTGCTGGCCTGGGGTCCTGGCAAAGGGTAATCTCGGGGAAGCAGGAGGGGCTCTAGCGGACTCTGGAGCCAGATGTTCACAGCTGTGGGACTGAGGGAGACGTTTCTAAGCTGAGTGCGGTTCACCTGGAAGTGGCCAGTGTCCTGGGGCCTCTGGCACTCATTCAGTGGTCATTCATTCTACCTTCCTGGCCCTTCGTCCTTGCTGGAGGCCGGCACTGTCAGGCCAGGGCTCCCAGCCTGGTGGGGAGACCCAGGGTGAGGTGCTGACCGCAGGGTGGGTAGGTGCTCTGACAGGGAGGCGCAGGGGTGGGGAGGCCACAGCCCGCCTCAGCATGGAAAGGCTCCTGTGCCAAGAGTGCCTTAGCCCCAGCCTTGTCACTGGCCTCCGTGCGAGCTGAGCTGAGGTTGGCTGGAGCAGAAAGGCGGCCTCTGCTCTGAACATCCCCGTGGATTACTCGTGGCACAGCCCCGCCCCCACCACATGGGCCAGGGCTTGCAGGGCATGGGCTCTCTGTCCCAGGGTGAGGTGCAGGGGTCACACTGCTGGCCTGGGGTCCTGGCAAAGGGTAATCTCGGGGAAGCAGGAGGGGCTCTAGCGGACTCTGGAGCCAGATGTTCACAGCTGTGGGACTGAGGGAGACGTTTCTAAGCTGAGTGCGGTTCACCTGGAAGTGGCCAGTGTCCTGGGGCCTCTGGCACTTATTCAGTGGTCATTCATTCTACCTTCCCGGCCCTTCGTCCTTGCTGGAGGCCGGCACTCTCAGGCCAGGGCTCCCAGCCTGGTGGGGAGACCCAGGGTGAGGTGCTGACCTCAGGGTGGGTAGGTGCTCTGACAGGGAAGCGCAGGGGTGGGGAGGCCAGAGCCCGTGGGTGAGGGTGGCTGCTCAGAGGAGGGACAGCCCAGCCTAGGCCTGAGCACTGTGCATTCCAGCAGAATCACACGGTGTTCCCCTTGCTGGCAGGTGAGCCCTGTTCCTACTTCAGGGCTGTGGAGAGAGAGGTTCAGAAGACACAGTGTTGCCCAGAAAGGGAAACTTTGTGTCCAAGGCCCTGAGTTGGAGTCCGGCTGAGCCCCGATTGGCTGAGTGACCAGGGCGGGAGCCCTGTGTGCGTCAGTGTTGCCATCTGTGAAACAGCCACAGCGCCCCTGCTCCCAGGGGTGAGCAAGCCACAGGCGTGGTGCAGGGCACAGGCCGGGCTCAGACCATGGCACTGAGCATCGTGATTGAGAGTGGACAGTGAGAGGCCAGGGAGGTCCAGGGGCTTCCACAGGTCATGCAGGGCCAGGACAGGAAGAGAGAGGGTTCCCAATGTGTGTCCCGTGGGGAAGTCCAGCCCTCTGTCCCGGCATGTACTGCCGGCCCAGTCTGCTTTAATCGACTCGGCTCATAAAGAAGCCCTGGGTGCAAGGTGCAGCCCCCAGGGGTTGCAAGGTGCAGCCCCAAGCGGGTGGGGCCGTGGCCCGCAGCAGTGCGCAGGGTGGCAGCGAGCGTCTGAGCCGTCACTAAGTCTGCTTTAATCGACTCGGCTCATAAAGAAGCCCTGGGTGCAAGGTGCAGCCCCCAGGGGGTTGCAAGGTGCAGCCCCAAGCGGGTGGGGCCGTGGCCCGCAGCAGTGCGCAGGGTGGCAGCGAGCGTCTGAGCCGTCACTACCCCACACAGCCCTGTTTTGGGGAGATGTGCGTGCAAGGACACTTTGTGTCTGGTCTCCCAGCTGTGATGGGAGGTTTCCTGGGGAAATCAACTCTTCTCCTTGCCAGGCGCGGTCAATGGCCCTTGGCCTCCAGAAAAGAACAGGGAAGTCTCAGACGACCTTGATTCAGGGACCCCGCAGAGGGCGGAGGGAGCCGGAGGGTGGGTGGGGCTCTCATTCCAGAGCCGAGGCAGGGGTGGGAGACACCAGCCCGGCCGTCCACTCTGCCTGGAGGTCCCCTGTGTCCTTGCGTGGCTCAAACCCACCTGAGTCATTTGTTAAGCATCAGAGACCCTTGTCCCTGCTGCCTCCTGCTAGCTGTCCCTTGGGTTCCATTGTTCAGAACTTCCTGCCGCCCTGGGCCTGGGAGCAGGTCCCACACTCCCATCGTCAGGCATAGCGCGGGCTCACCTCTTCCCTTCGCCTGCCGTCACCTCCTCCAGGCGCCTCTCACCCAGATGACCGCTTGGCGACCACCCTGGCCCAGCTTCATGCTGGCCCTGGGGAAGTCCTGAGGCTTCCTCACCAACTGCTCTCCCTTCCTGGAGACCCTCCACTCAGAGGGTGGATAAATATCCTCACCTTGGCCTCTGACCTCTCACCGTAGGGCCCTGCCCCCACTTTGACCTGCCCCTCCACCTTCCTGGCAGCCACCTCTGTGTCTCCGACGTGTCCAGCCCCATCCTGCTGTTTGGAAGCTGTCCCTGCCAGGTTCCCCGTGGCTGGCTGCCCTCCCAGCTCAGATGCTGTCCCCCGAGGGTCAGGCCCTGATGGCCCTCCAGGGTGCAGGACGATGCTTGCTACTGGTCCACCTGCAGAGGTTGAGGACACGGGCTTGAGCCGGGCAGCCTGGCTGTCCATCCAGTTCCATAGTCACCAACAGAGTGACCCTCACACATCAGGCCCAGAGCTGAGCCCTGTCCTCATCTATGATACAACGCAGGTAGAAACAGCACGTGCCGCAGACGGTGCTGGCAGCAGCCAGCAGCTCAGTGACCCGGCCGCTCATCCCTCTGTGTTTTCTTTACGAGGCATTCTGTTTTTTGCCTGTGTGAGTATTTACTCTCTGTCCCCCTGTGCTCCTGTCAGCTCCCGGGAGTGGGATTTGTCTTGTTCCAAGTTGCCTCCCCAGGGCCGAGCCCCTGAGGCAGGCTGCAAACGCTCGTAGCCCTGTGAAGTAAGCACCCTGATCTTGATTTTACAGATGAGGAAACTGAGGTTCAGAGAGGCAAAGTGACTTGCCTAGGGTCACACAGCAAGGAAGGGGAAGGGCAGGGTTTGATTCCAGGACTGTGGCTGCAAAGTCTAGCTCTTTATGCCCCAGGGTCCCTCTTCCACCCTGTTCTGGCCTCTGTCCGAGGCTCGCTGGCAGCAGACGGAAGCAGGAGGCTTGGTCCCCTCTCCCAAAGAACTGATGGTCATTCATTCATTCAGCGAACATCTCTCAAGTGCCTGTGTTTGCTGGGCCCTGTGCTAGGCCTTGGGACATGGTGGTGAGCAGAGCCCAGTCCCTGCCCTCACATGGTCTGGTGGGCAAGAGGGACGAGTCACTGGCAATAACACTGTAGGACAGTGGTGCAGTGAAGGGGCCCATGGCACTGCGTGGGGGTCACGAGAGCCCTGTGTGGGCAGGAGAATAACAATAGCCCCGAGACTGACCTGGACCCTACAAGGCACAGCCAGTCAGGCTGCAGTTGGGTGGTTCTGGCAGCAAATGCCAGGGAGCTCAGGGAACGTGGGCAGGAGGGGAGGCTGCCTGGAGGAAGTGGCATTGTGCTGGGTTTTCAGGATGGAGAGGGTCTGGATGAAGCAGGCACCTGCAGCCCCTGGCTGGACTATCACTCTCTCGGGAGACCTCATCCCAAGTGCATGTGGGCTGGAGGGAGCTTCAGGCCTCCCCCTCCCTTTCAGAATCCTTCACGCCTGACCACAAGCCCCTGATGGGGGAGGCACCCGAGCTCCGTGGGTTCTTCCTGGGCTGTGGCTTCAACAGTGCTGGTGAGTGCGGGCAGTGGCGGGAAGCGGTCCCGGAGTGCCGCAGCCGGACAGCGGTGGAGACGGGAGAGGCTAGAGAGGCTGCGGGCAGGGTGCGGTCCAGCTGGGGGGGCGTGCAGCATCCCCGGTATGAGATCAGGGCTTGGGGCATGCACCACATGTGCAGATGGGGAGAGCATGGAATTGGACTATATTGGGTACCTGGGAACAGACTGCAGACCTGTGGTTCTGCTTCTGCCAGGAATGATGCTGGGCGGTGGCTGTGGGCAGGAGCTGGCCCACTGGATTGTCCACGGGCGCCCGGAGAAGGACATGTACAGCTACGACATCAGGTGAGTACGCCCATACACCCGAGGGCAGGGCCAGCAGCAGGCAGGCTACGCCGTGCGGGCACCTGGCTTTGGCAGATCCATGGCCCTTCAGTTTCCAGGGTCTCTTGTCCCGGGGTCCTGCCTGACCCTCTGGAGAGTTCTGGAGCCATCAGTGGGATCTCATCATCCCACTTACAGGTGGGGAGACTGAGGCCTGGGGAGCAGGCAGAGCTGGGACAATCATTCTCGGTGTGTGTCTGGGGCTTGGAGCCAGGTGGCGCCAACTAGCATTCCTGTTCCATCGGTCACTATAGAGTGGCCAGGAGTGAATCATACCTAGTGCCGAGCAATTTCCTCGTCTGTGACACGGAGGCGGTAATGGCGACACTGCAAAGGTTTGGGAGCAGCAAGCCGTGTAGGTCAAGTGCTCAGCGTCTGGTCTGCCCACAGAAGCACTAAATAAACCTGAGCAGAGGCACGGGGACTGATGGCCAGAGCTGAGAGGCATCCCTGTTGCCCAGTGGCCTTCTGCAGGTCAGGGCCACCCTTAAAGAGGACAGGACAGTGACACAGGGCCAGGTCAGGAGGGTGGCACCTCAACTCTCCTCTGACCCAGGCAGGGCCTGGCGGGTGGGTGTCGGTGGGGCTGGGCTGTGGTGTCTCCCCCCTAGGGTAACCTGGGCCTGTCCTGTGCTCTGCAGGGTGGCAGTCGAGGCAGAGCAGCAGGGAGGGAGACCTGCCTCTGTGGCCTGCTCAGCCCACTCCACTCGTGACCACTCCTGGTGGACGGTGTCCTTGGGGAGACCCCAGCTGCCCCACAGGGGCCAGAGGCCGGGGTGGGGGGTGGAGGGGCTGCAGGTTCAGCTCCGGGTACCCGCATGCTTCTGCTAACCTCGCTCCTTCCTGGCCTGAGGAGGACATTACACCCTCAGGGGTCAGGGAGAGAGAGACAGACAGGCAGACACTAAAGTCCCCCCGACTGCCACCCCCTCCATGCTACCCAGTGCAGTGAGGTCTGCTCTGCAGCTGCCTCGGAGCCCGTCTGGGGCTGCGCCCATGCACTTCCCCCAAAGAGGAAGGTTCCAGAAATGATAAGCTGCAAGGGACCTTGGGAAGGGCCACATCAAACCACCCCTACGAACACAAGGTGGAGGCGACTTGTCTGAAGTCACCCAGCTTTCGAACCAGAGCTGCGCTTCCAGACCCCACACCCCGCGCAGGCCTGCGCTGCCTCCAGAGCCCTCCCGGGGCCCTCCTGTCCCCACCAGGCCTCCTTCACCTCCTGGCTCTGCGGTGTGACCAGGAACACTCGTGTCCCCTCCCAGCCTGTTTCCTCTCGTATGAGATGAGGCAGACTTTGGGCCCCATGCATAGGGCAACAGAGAGGTCTCTGGAGACAGCACTCAGCCCTGGGGTTATGCTGGAAAAGAGCAATTCTTAGTAATAGTGTCATTAATAATAACGCGCACACCTGTAGCTCACTCCCCACCGCCCCACCAGAAAGACGTTCCTGCCAGAATGACATGCAGACTAAGAGTCAATTTGCCCCGACAGGCTGGGCAGGTACCGCAGAGCTCAGGAACTCCACGGGGGATGTGGCTGGCGGCGGTGGCTGGGAGGACCAGGCAGAGTCCAGCAAAGGACGGGGCTGTGGGTCCCGGCATGGCCAGGCCAGGCGTCTAATCCAGCCCGCTGTTCTGCCCACGAGAAGGCAGGAGGAGGGGCCTGGGCCACAGGCCAGCTGCAGGGCCTCTCGGCTCAGCAAGAAATGGTGTGGGGCCCCCTGGGTTGGAGCTGGACCCCAGTAGGGGGCTGCACATGCTGTCCCCAGCCTCAAGGAGACAGACCCAAAGCTATCCTGTCAGACCTTCTCTGGCCCCAGAGGCTGGATTCTGCAGCTGCTCCCCTCCACAGCTGGGCTTCTCCTGGAGAGACCTGGGGTCCTGCACACTGGCAGCGGGGGAGGGGGCTCCTTGCTGAGGAGAAAGGGGACTGGTGTTGACACCGCGGTGACACCGGGGTGACACACTGTCGACCCTGAGCTTTAAAGACTCCTCCCATTAACCTTCACTAGTCTATTTGGGCTTCTGAGCCCCTCCCTCTCGGGGGCCCACTCACTCCCCTGGGTATGCGGGGGCCCGAAATCCCCAACTCTGGAGTCCAGAGAGCAGATGGCAATGCGGCAAGAGCGAGACCAGAGCCCAGTGTGTCTGTCGGGCATGAGCGCCCGGCTCGGCCCTGTCTGCAGCACCCCCTCTGCTCACTACGGCAGCAGGGCAGGGGCTTGCGGGCGAGCAGGCTGAGCCCCGGGTGTGGGGGCGAGTGGAGAGCCAGGAGCCACCCCGGCGCTGAGCCACGGGGAGGACTCCAGCCGAGGGGACGAGGGTCCAGGTTTGCCCTGGTCCTTGGCCAGCCCTCCCCTGACGGGCCGTCCCCAGAGCAGTGACCCGGTCCCTCCGTCCGCGGCAGGCGCTTCCATCACTCGCTCACAGACCACCGCCGCTGGATCCGCGAGCGCAGCCACGAGTCCTACGCCAAGAACTACTCCGTTGTCTTCCCCCACGACGAGCCACTGGCTGGGCGCAACATGAGGAGGGACCCCCTGCACGAGGTACCACTCCCAGCAAGTCCTGCTGCGTGCCAGGCCGTGGTGACTCTCTGGGAAGTCCTCAGGGTATTGGGGCAACGGTAATGCAAGGAGAAACCCCAACTGCAGGGCAGGCACTGCAGGGGCGACGAGGCTGTGAACCCAGCAGGCCTCTGGGCTGCGCCCTGTGTTCGGGGCTGGGACGTGTGGGGAAACGGCTCCCGCCAAGGGACTGGGATTCCAGGGGAGGAGACAGCACATCCCAGCGCTGCAGGGCAGGGGTCTGGGGAGCAGGTGCACGGTGGGTGTGTGCTGTCGAATGTCAGAGTGGGGACAGTCGGGCTGTGTGTGCTGAGAAGATGGGCCCCTGCTTGTGAGGCCTGCTTGGGATGCCTTTTTCCCCTGGTGAGCTTCTGCTTACACGATGAAACCCACTGCCAGGTGCCCTTCCCTGAGCTCTGCCCCGTGCGTGCTCCTGGCGCTCCCACTCCGTGCTCCTGCCCGCCTGCATTCCCTCCTCCCAGTCATCCTGTGCTGGATGCTTTGCTTACGTGGGAACAGGGGCTATGTCCTAGTCACTCTGGTTCATTGAGTGGATGGATGGAGGGGGAGACAGGAGAGCAGGCTCAGGGAGCAGGTGGCATTTAAGCTGGAGGAGGGGCCTCCCTCCTCTGGGACTCCAGTGTCTAAACCAAGAGGGACCCCAGTATCAGCTGCACCTCCTGGGGAGAGGCCGGGAGACGTCAGTGGTCAGAAGGCTGGTTACCAGACCGCCCTGGCCCCTTGGCCCAGCTGGTGGGCCAGCTGTGATCTCAGGCCACATGGCCTCAGGGTCACCCCCACCTGCCCCCAGGCCTTCAATCACCCCCTTGCCAGTCCCGACAGTTCAACAGCCTCCAGGAATGAATGCAGGGTTTGCCCAGCTCACGGTGGGCTCAGACACATTCCTTACAACCAAACACTTCTACCCAAAGAGACTCGGCGAGGGCTGAAGCCCACCCCTGCCCCCGCTTCCTGGTCAGCATCCTATGACACTCGACAGCCACTTACATTTTCTCTCTCTCTTTTATTATTTTTTTTGTCTTTTGTCTTTTTCCGTGTCTGGCAACGGATCGCAACTCTCAGTGTTGCCCCCGTACCGGACCGGGGACCAGCAACGGGATCGCAACCCTCGGTGCTGCTCCCGCGCCTCGCTCAGCCAGTGAGCGGGAACCGGTCTGTATGTGGGATCCGAACCCTCGGGCGGGAGCGCCACCGCGCTTCCCAAGCCGTGCACTTATCCAGTGCGCCACCGGGCCGGCCCTCTCTCTCTCTTTTTTAAGGAGAGGAGCCTGCCCCTTTAAGTGGGGTTCTGAGACTAACACTTTCCCTCCTTGGAAAGGTGATCTGTGGGTGCCTCCTTCCCCACTGAACAGCAGGGGTTCTTCTGTACTTGATTGCTGCCCTGTGGCGTCCCCGACATGTGGAGAGGACCTACGGGTGTCACTATGGCACCGTGATCATGGGTGTTTCTCCTCCCGCTCTGTGCTCTGCCTGCATCCACCCCACCCAGGGCTGCTAGACCATCCGTCTGGGCACCCGCACCTGGGCCAGACTCAGCTTCCACGGCCCCCTTGGGCCTGGGCTCTGGGCCCTGCTGCCAGTCAGGGGCAGGGCGTGGACAGGTCCTTCTAAACCTGAGAGTGGGGAGTCTTTCTTTCTTTCTTTCTGTTTTAATACCAAATTTATTGTCAAAGAAATCTTCCACTAGATTACTTCCCCGTGTCTGTTATACTTGTTATTGTGGTAAAGTACACAAAACATAAAATTAGCCATTTAATGACCATTTTAATGAGTACGCCTCAGAGCATTAAGTGCATCTACAGGGCTGTGCATGCATCACCACTGTCTAGTTCCGGAACATTCTCAGGACTCCACACAGAAGCCCCGTCCCATTAATTAGTCACTCCTCATTGTCCCTCCCCCCAGCCCCTGCCAACCTGTAACCTCCTTTCCTCTCTACAACTTTGCCTGTTCTGGACATTTCATACCAAGGGAACCATACGATGTGTGACCTTTGTGTCTGGCTTCTTCCCCTCAGCATGTCTTAGAGGTTCATCTGTGCTGCAGCACGTGTCAGAAATTCTGTTCCTTTTTGTGGCTGAATAATATCCCATTGCACACAGACCACGTTTTGTTTGTCCTGCATCGGCTGCTGCCGCGTGGTCTGTCCCACTTCTGGCTGCTGTGCACACATGTGTACCGTGTGTGTTTGAGACGCTGCTTCCGGCTGTCTTGGGCATGTATCTAGGAGTGGAATTGCTGGGTCATGTGGTGTATTAGTTTGCTTGGCTGCCATAACAACACACCACAGACTGGGTGGTTTAAACAACAGAGATTTATTTTCTCATGTTTCTGGAGACCAGGAGGTCCAAGATCAAGGTGTCAGCGAATGACTCTGTTCCTGCAGGAGGCCTCTTAGCTCATAGATGGCTGCCTCTGGCTGTGTCCTCACATGGTGGAGAGAGCTCTGGAGTCTCTTCCTCTTAGAAGGGCACCAGCCCTACTGGGTCAGGCCCCACCCTATGACCTCATTTAGCCTTAGTCACCTGAAAGTCACCCATCTCCAAATGTGGTCATATTGGGGGTTAGGGCTTTCACATATCAATGGGAGGAGGTGGACACGATTCAGTTCCTAGACTGGGGATTCTTGGGGCGAGGCAGTGGGGGTGTTGGGGGTGTGGGGCTCTAGGGTGGGAGTGGCAGGCTGGGCTGGGGTCCTAGTTCTGAGTGCAAGCGCCTCTTTGCCCTCTACACCTGGCTTTGGAGGGGCAATGTGGTCGCTCTCCGCCCTGCGCGGGTGCCTTCCATGTCTGAAGGGGCTTGTTCACCCCGCCTGTGCAGGAGCTCCTCGGACGAGGCTGTGTGTTCCAGGAGCGGCATGGCTGGGAGCGGCCGGGATGGTTTAACCTCCAAGGCGCCGCCCCGGTGAGTAGCTCCAGCTCTGCGCCCAGCAGTCTCACCAGCGCCACTGGTCCATTCAGCAGAGAGGCCCTGCTCACCGCCCCCTCCCACCTCTGCGTTGTCCCCTCACCCCAGGTGGGGAGCTGAGTCCCGTGGACCTGCCCGTGAGAGCTGGGGCCTCCTGCCCCTGGCCACGTGGGGAGGGCTCCTCCCTGGAGGTGGGAGACAGCACAGGAGACTCCCCCAGGGTGCAGGAGGAACCAAGAGCATCTTCTCATACTTTTGCGCGTATATTTCTGCCGCCCCAACTGTTAATTTATGGTAGTGAGAGGATTTAGCTCAAAATTATGCACTCAGTGCGTTTGGTTTCTCAATTGAGATTTCACAGCATCCTGGCCTGTGGGTGCCCTCTGGGGCCTCCCAGCACCCTCAGTGCCTCTCCAGGACCTGTGTCTTCAGAGAGAATAAAAGCCAGTCCTGCTCGTGAAACCCTGGGATGGGGACTCTGGAGCAGACGATGTGAGGCTCTAACACCCACCACGCGTTAGCATTTGATCCAGATTTGTACAAATTAAGGTCACCTTGCAGGGCAGCCGTCTTCCCTCCCTATAGCAGCACATGTCCATGGTGAGTCCCAGGGCATCGTCAGGGGAGACGGGGGCCAGAGCTCACAGCAGGGGCCCTGGCTCTGGGGTCATGTCCTCAGAGCCTTGTTGATCATGGTCCCTTCATATATGGCTCCTAGAGACGATGTGGGGAGGATAGGCCTGGGAAGACGCTGTCTTTAAGCACAGCTCACCGCATTCAGCCTGGGTAGCCCTGGAAGCCCCTCACCCCTGGAGTCCCTGGGCAGAGAGGAGCCAAGAGTTGGAGTCAGGAACACATCCTTGGTCCCAAGATGGGCAGACTTTGCACCCCATGTGGGAGTCACCCTGGGAGTCCAGGAGACGGGCAATGTCCCTCCAATCCCTGACACTGCAGCAGGGCGGCCACTGCTAGGATGTCCCTGCTGTGGTCTCACAGACCAGGGTGGGCCGTGCCTGGCCAGGGAGTGAGAAGTTGCTGGGAAAGACCCCTCCCTGGACACCGGGGCTTGAGCTGGGGCTTGAGGAGCTGTGGAGCCCAACTCAGTTATAACCTCACACTCAGCTCTGAGCTGTAGAGAGGAGGTGAGGGCTGGTGGGCATGGTGGGCAGGGCTGGGAGGTGAGAGTAGCCTGCACCTGTACTCACATCTGTGTGGTGCCAGCAGTCTGGAAGGGGGGGCGGTAGGCAGAGCCTGGGTGGTGGGGTTGTCTGACAGAGGGGCAGATGGCAGGAGGCGCCGAGGCAATGGCAGGGGATCCAGACTCTGCAACCACCAGGCTTCATGCCATGGCTCTGTTGGGCACTTGTGTGTGACCTGGGCAAGGTTTAGTCTCTCTGGGCCTCCAGTTGTCCATTAGGAGTATGTGGCACTTCCAGCAGGGTCTGGCCCAGAGTGGGAACAGGGTCCCAGGTCACCATGGCAACAGCTCCTGGAGCATCACTGCAGTGATCTGCAGTTTATGTAGTTTGTGCGTGTGTGTGTATGTGTGTGTACGTGTATGTGTGTGTATATGTGTGTATGTGTGTGTGCTTGTGTGTATGTGAATGTGTATGTGTGTATGAAAGTGTGTGCACGTGCGTGTGTGTGCACGTTGTGTATGTGTGTGTATGTGTTTGTGTGTACGTGTCTGTGTGTATGTGTGTGTGTGTGCGTGTACATGTGTGTATGTCTCTGTGTATGTGTGTGCGTGTGTGTGCATGTGTGTATGCATGTGTGTGTGTATGTGAATGTGTGAGTGTGTGTATGTGTTTGTGTGTACGTGTCTGTGTGTATGTGCGTGTGTGTGCGTGTACATGTGTGTATGTCTCTGTGTATGTGTGTGCGTGTGTGTGCATGTGTGTATGCATGTTGTGTGTGCACGTTGTGTATGTGTGTGTATGTGTTTGTGTGTACGTGTCTGTGTGTATGTGCGTGTGTGTGCGTGTACATGTGTGTATGTCTCTGTGTATGTGTGTGCGTGTGTGTGCATGTGTGTATGCATGTGTGTGTGTATGTGAATGTGAGTGTGTGTATGTGTTTGTGTGTACGTGTCTGTGTGTATGTGCATGTGTGTGTGAGCATGTATATGTGTATGTCTCTGTGTGTATGTGTGCGTGCGCACGCGTGTGTACGTGTCTGTGTGTATGTGCGTGTGTGTGCATGTGTGTGCGTGTGTATGTGCGTGTGTGCACGTGTGTGCGTGTGCGTGTATGTGTGCGTGTGTGTCAGTGTGAATGTGTGTGCACACGTGTGTATGTGTGTTTGTGTGTATTTGTGCATGCGCGCGTGTGTACGTGTCTGCATGTGTGTGTGCGTGTGTGCATGTGCGTGTGCGTATGTGTATGTGTGTGTGTGCATGTGTGTATGTGTGCGTGCGTGCGCACGCGTGTGTGTGTTTGTGTGTATCTGCGTGTGCTTGTGTGTGTACGTGTCTGCGCGTGCGTGTGTATGTGCGTGTGTGCACGTGCGTGTGTACGTGTCTGTGTGTATGTGCGTGTGTGTGCATGTGCGTGTGTGCACGTGTGTGTGCATGTGTGTATCTGTGCGTGCCTGTATGTGTGTGTGTGAATGTGTGTACGTGTGTGTGTGCGTGCGTGTATGTGTGTGCGTATGTGTGTGCGTGTATGCATGTGTGTATGTGTGCGTGCGTGTATGTGTGTGCGTGTGTATATGTGTATGTGCGTGTATGTGTGCGTGCGTGTATGTGTGTGCGTGTGTATATGTGTATGTGCGTGTATGTGTGCGTGCGCGCGTGTGTGTACATGTCTCTGTGTGTATGTGTGTGTGTGCGTATGTGTGTGCACGTGTGCGTGTGTGTGTATGTGTGTATATTGCCAGAACCACACGGCCTCCCTCCATGGCCGCAACATACCTGCACCTGCAGGAGGGGAGGCCCGCTGAGGCCAGCACCAGTCTGGCTCTGCAGGACGCGTCTCAGCACCTGCCACCAGCAGGCCCCAAGCTGTGTTTGTGGAGGGAAGGAGCAGGGAGGGGGAGGAAGGGCAGTGACTGAGTCGCCTCCTCCTAGGTCCTCGATTACGACTACTACGGGGCTTACGGAAACCAGGTGCACAAGGACTGCGCCTACAACAAGCTGCTGGGCGATGAGTACCCCTTCGACTTCCCGCCCCACCATGACGTGGTGAGTGGCTGCTCCCCCACGGGCGGACGCCGGAGTCCCCACCCGCACCCCCGTCCTGCAGTGAGGGGAGCCTCCCGGGGGCTGGCCTCTGCCGGCCCTGCGGGGCTCCTCCCCACATCCCCTGCTCTGGCTGACTCGTTCCTGGGGCGGGATCACGTGATGTTTTCCTCTCCTCTCTTCCCGCCATCTGCACGGAGATTCTGCCTGCGTTAGGCCTGAGGGTAAATGTTACTGCTCGAGGCAGGGGCGGGGTGAGGCAGTCAGGCCTGGGTCTGCCCTGCCTCAGGCCAGGGCTGCAGCACTTCCAGCCTCTGCCCCCTTCCACGTGAGATTTTGTGAGGATGGAGCTGCTCCTTCCCAGGACCACGCACAGAGGGCTCCCGCCTACAGTTCTACCAGGACAAGGGGGCCCGCCGATCCTGGGCATTGGGCCTCTGGACAGGCCTCTCCAGGGGACAAACGGAGGAGAGCAGAGCTGGGGGAGCCTGCTCACTGCCCCTCTTGCTGTAAAAGTGGGCCTCTGAGGCTGAGCTCACCACCCCTCGCCTGAGTGCCTGCCCGCCCCCTGCACTGGGGTGGAGGTGACGAGCTTTGGGGGCTGGGCCTCGCCTCCAGCCGTCTGCACCGTGCAGGAATGTTCTCGTAGGCAGCCTTTGCAGAAGGAACACCGCCAGCTCCCACCCGGGGCCCCCCAGGCATCTTGTAAAGTGCTTACCGAGCCTCACCAGGGTCCCTAGAGGCCAGGGAGGACCTGGGGAGCATCGTGATGAGTTGCTGCTGCCTCTGGGGAGGGAGTAGGGTGGCTCCAGGATGGTCCCACACCTGGGTGGACACTTTGCTGTCCCTGCCCTGAAACTCCTAATGCTTTTTGAACAAGATCCCTATATTCATTTTGCAGTGGGCCCTGCAAATTCTGTAGCTGGTCCTGAAGTTAAGGACGTGTTCATTCCCACTTCCCCCCAGACTTGCTCTAGTGGTAAAATGCCTGTTAAAGGCAGTGGCAGAGGGGACTTCTGGCATGAAAGCGGAGGCTGTGTGTCCTAAAGCTTGGGGGTTGCAGGGCCCTTCTCAGAGTCCCTCGTGGCTGCCTCTGGGGGTGCACGGGGCTCCGTCTGGCACCTCCAAACCTGCAGCTTCTGAAGCCCGTGGGACTTCTGGCCCTCGAGGATGTGAGAGCTCGGAGGAGATGCCAACTTGGCTGTGTGGCTTCACGCAGCCTCCGCAAAGGCGCCTGAAACAGCCCTGAGGCATGAAACACACGCTTGTTCTCAGCGTTGGCAGCCACCCCGGCCCAGGCTGGCAAGCGCCAGCCAGGAAAGCTGTTCTGGGTTTTAGTCAGCAGCCCCAGCAGCCCCAGCAAAGGCACTGCAGTGCCCGAACACTAGGGGGAGCTCCAAAAGGGGTCAGTAATGTCTGCAGGGAGGTGGGGTAGCAGCCCAGGGACTCAGGAGGAGGACAGTCCCATGGTGCCCTTGGGTGTTCAACCACCAGATCTCCAGGGGTAAAGTGGACTCTAGCCTTTGCCGATTTCCCTGGTGTCGATACTCTTCCCATAGCTGATTTCAGTCCGGCCACCCACGTGGCACCATCCAGCAGGGCATGGAGTTGGGAGGATGTCAGCACAGTCGGCTCTGGGGCCAGGGCACCGCTAGACAGAGCTGGCCGACCTGCAGCCCTGAGCACTTGGTCCGGGAGGGGCAGGAGCAGCTGCCTCGTGGGGTGGCACTGAGGTTGGGAGGGCAGGACGCAGCTCCTGACACATGGACTGCTTGGCAGGTGGCAGAGTTGCTGGCATAACTTTTCCGTTCAGTAACAGCAATAGGCTGGCGTGTCTGCTCAGCAGCTGGGCAACGTGTTAGAAGGAAGGGACGGCCGAGGAGAAAACACGGTGGACCACTGAGGACCTTGAAAACCTGCCTGACGCGTTTGTGAGCCGCGGGGAGGGAAATCGGGAGAGATCTTGTGTTCTTTTTTTCAAACAGCTTTATTGAGATATAATTCACATACCATATAGTTCATCCATTTAAAGGGTACAATTTAATGTTTTTTAGTAAGGTCATAGGGTTGTGCAACCAGCACGACAATCTAGTTTTAGAACATTTTTATCTCCCCTTAAAAGAAGCCCCACACGCACTAGTAGTCACCCCATCCTCCACCCTATCCCCACCCCAGCCCAAGGCTTTCCATCTCTATGAATTTACCTAGTTTGGACATTGCGTGTAAGTTGGAACCATAAAATATCCGTCCTTTCGTGACTGGCTTCTTTCACTCAGCGTAATATTCTCGAGGTCATTCCACGTGGCAGCGCACGTCAGCACCTCGTTCCTTTCATTCTGAATGACAGTGCCCCACTGTGTGGGGACCCACGTCTCGTTTATCGATTCATTCACTGATGGACGTTGAGTAGTTTCCTCTTTGGGGCTGTTAGGATTAATGCTGCTGTGAACACCCACGTACGAGTTTGGGTTGGGACGTGTCTTTTCAATTCTCGGGGGCATATATTTCTAGGACTGGAATGGCTGGGTCATGTGTAACTCCGTGTTCAGCATTTTGAGGAAACACCAGGTGTGTTCCAGAGCGGCCGCACCACTTCACAGTCCCACCAGCAGTGCACGCACGGGCTGCCATCCTGCCACATCCTTGCCGACACTTGTTGTCATCCGATTTTTTCATTCCGGCCATCCTGGGGGGTGTGGAGCGGTATCTCATCAGGGTTTAGACTGGCCTTTCCCTAACGACTAATGAGTTGAACGTCTTTCCATCCATCTTTGGAGAAGTGTTTATCAGATCCTTTGCCCATCTTAAAATTGGCTTGTCTTCTTTTATTGTTGAGTTGTAAGAGTTTTTAATGTATTCTCGATACAAGTCCCTTATCAGATATATGATTTACAAACACTTCCTCCCATCCTGCGGGCTCTCTTTTTACTTTCAGCACAAACTTTTAAAATTTTGATGAAGTTCAATTCATCTGTATTTTTTTTTCCTTTTGTCACTTGTACTTTGATATCATGTCTAAGAAATTAACCCAAGGTCACAAAAATGTGGTCCTGTGTTTTCTTCTAGCAGCGCCGTAGTTTTAGCTCTTCGTTTAGGTCTACGACCATTGGAGTTCATCTCTGTGCCTGGCGTAAGGTTGGAGTCCAGCTGCACCCTGTTCGTGTGGATGTTTAGTCCCAGCAGCATTAGTTGAAAAGACTGTTCTTTCCTCTGTTGAGTTGTCTTGGTGGTTGAAAATTGATTGACCATAAGTGTGAGGGTTTATTTTTGACTTTCGGTGATATTTCATTAATCTATATGTCTGTCTTTACACCAGGACCACACTACCCTGATTACTGCACCTTCGTAGTAAGTTTTGGTTGTTCTTGTTTTGTTTTGTGGCTGGTCGGAAACAGGGATCAAACCCTAGACCTTGGTGTTATCGGCACCACACTCTAACCTACTGTGCTAACCGACCAGATCTGCAGTAAATTTTGAAATCAGAAAGTGTGAGTCCTCCAATTTTGTTCTTTTTCAGAATTGCTTTGAGTATTCTGGGTCTTTTGCATCTCCCTATGAATTGTAGAATCAGCTTATCAATTTCTGCAAAAAAGCCAGCTGAGATTTTGATAGGGATTGTGTTGAATCTGTAGATCATCTTGGCAATAATAAGTCTCCCATTGCATGAACACAGGGTGTCTTTCCACTTATTTAGGTCTTCTTTAACTTCTTTCAAAAAATATTTTCTGGGCTGGCCCGGTGGCGCACTGCTACAGTGCGCCGCTTGGGAGTGTGGTGGCGCTCCCACCGAGGGTTCGGATCCCACATACAGACCGGTTCCT